TAATCCAAAGCATGTGCCACTTTGTTGTGCAGGGGTTTTCCTGTCGGCACGAAAACGTATCCGGTTCACACATATCGGATAGGTTTTATGCCATACTTTGGTGCATTCGCCCTGTCACGGAAGTAAACAGTGGCTAGTTTGGGCCTGGAACCCACTAAGACGGAAGTAAATATTCAGGAGTGAGGACTGGGATTTAGGGCACCAAAGCCTCTCCGCCAACCGCGCCGCCGGCACGATGTTTGATGTGTGTGAACGCCCCAGGCCGTTGCTGTTCACACTATACCCATAGCTTTTCGTGGCGCCATGCAAAGCTATCCGTTATTGTGTTAACACAATCTATGTCTCCAAATCGCAGTATTCAGTAGGCCCGGGACACCCTATTCCCGTCCACAGGGCCACTCGGCTTTATTTGAAGCGAAGTGTCCTCGGGGCTGGGAATGGAGGTACCGTAATTTTAACGGTTTTTATTAAATATTTTTTATGCACTTTCCTACAGCGTCGTCAATCAACTTCAGATGGTGTGCGAAGTCCACGGAGATGGCCAAATGTCAAGAATTCATCAAGTACGTGAACAAAACTGCGACAAAAAAAGGTATACCAGTGACTGACTTGAGTTGTGTTAATGGAAGCACATCCGACATTTGTATGACGTTCATCAAAGACGATAAGGCTGACCTCGTGACACTGGACGGTGGACGTGTTTATGAAGCAGGTACAAGCTTTGTTTGTCAAGTGTTGGCGAAATTTTCTAGGGTTGGACCCAGTTGAGAAAAGGAAAAAGAAAAATGTTGTGTTGTGTTCATGTACTCCGAAGTGGACACATGAAATTATGAAAGTTTCATGTCGGAACCGTGCAACGACAACTTAGAAATGTACGAAAAACGTGATACGTGCACAGTTTTTTTGCTTATAGAAACCTATTTCCTTTTTGTCATTCTCGTTGCCGTCGCCGTAGTCGTTGCTTAAGCTGCCCATTGTTGTGGTCCAGAAATTTTGCTACCATGGCAACGTGACGTCTCTTCTCCTCCCTATTAAGCGGCCAATAATCAAAGTCCCGAGAATTAATTGTACATGTACCATTGAAATGTTAAACAAGACCCCCATTATAGGGGTTCATTGGGTTGCCGACTGCGCGATGCAGTGGTTTAATATTTTAGTAGCCATAGCCGAGCAGTTCAAACAATTCACTACAAGAGAAAATAGGACCTGTATGTCTTCAAATATGACGCATATATGACGCATGATTACATGAAAACGCCAGAAAAAAAAAACCCAAATGGTATTACAGTCAACTCCCTTCACAGCGGACATGGTAAGGACCTTGGGTTAGTGTCCTCATTAGTGAGAGTCTTTAACAGCGGGAGTATATTTCAGTCAAACTTCTGCAATTTTTTTGTTGCCTGGGATTTAGCTGCTGTCCGTATTTTCTGGTTCTGTTATAGCGGGATTTCCCCAAGGCGAGAGTTGACTGTACATTATATTTCTTTATTCCCATTCGATCCAGGCAAGAATGATGATCTTGTGCCCATTGTCTCTGAGAAATATGGAAAATACGGAGTGAAGTACTACGGAGTTGCCATCGTGAAAAAGATCAATACAGGCTTCACCCTTGAAGGTCTGAAGGGAAAAAAGTCATGTCATACCGGAGCTCGAAGAACAGCAGGCTGGAATGTTCCCATTGGGTACCTGCTACGCAAAAAAATTATTCCACCAGTGAAATGTGATACAGAATTCCACGACTTTTATTCAGCTTCTAAATTTTTCCTTGAGAGCTGTGTACCAGGTGATCTTTGTGAGCTTTCTTTGCTCGTTTGTTCGTTCATCATTATTCATTCATTCCTCATTCATTCATTCATTAACTTTAATTTATTCATTTGTTTATCGTCCCATTACCTCTGAAAATAAAACAAAATACACTTGATATAAGCCCTTCTAGCTTTTATTAAAATGAATTCGATTTTTTAATATGTAAAAGCCTGTATTTTATTAATTAAAGGGGCTGTGTCACGGCAGTCCAGTACATTTTGTTTAATTTTGCCAATTACTCGCCCTCAATCGCTATGGAACTTAAAGCAAGCAAGGAAATTACAGGTAAATAACAAAATCAGAGACCAGAGACAAACAAATATGTCTCCTGAGCATTATTTTTGAAATTGCAAGCAGCAGGAATCAACTTTGAAATACTGTTGGGCTGAATAGTTTTCAAAAACCCTAATTTCAATCTGTTTCAATCTTCTTCAGTTTTGGTCATCCGTGGCATCTGTTGTTTCTGTTATGTTATTTTAACCTTCCTTTAAAGTTTTAAGCGGTTATTTTTATGTTTCTCTTAATTCAACGGGCATTTTTGTAATTTTCTAATTTGGCTGAATTGCGTGACACAGCTCCTTTAACCAAATTAAAAGCCCCCTCGGATATGAGTCCCTTTATTTATAATCCCTCCTAAAAACCCCCTATGAAGATATATATTAAGCTTAGGGCTTACAAGCGGCAATTTAAGGTATTTGATACTTGACTATTAAGTAAACGTGTTTTTACTATTAGGAAGCTTTTAAAAATAGTAAACGAAACAATCATGATGTTATCATTATCATTAATAACACTATTATTATTATTATTATTACTTTATTATTATTATTATTATTATTATTATTATTATTATTTTTACTGTTAATATCATTATTATGATTATGATTATAATAATTATTATTATTCTTAGACATGATGAATGACATTGGCATTGACTAAAAGCAGCAACTTTACATAATCAAGAAAAAGATAAATATAGCCAATAGAGCATCATTTTACATATTTTGTTGTAGAAACAGGAATTGGAATAGCCCAGATTTAATGCAATTTTGATCTCTTTTCTTCTCTTTCCTTTCCTTTTTTTTTGGAATGATCCAATCTCAAGCTGCATTTGTAAATTGCCTACACGTAGCGAGATTTACAATTGTACATTCAAAAATACAAAAAAAGTTTCCATCATTAATAGACCTAGAAACTACCTTATAAAATAATCTCTTAATTTCTTTGAACTTCGATTCTTAGGTGTGAAATCATATAATGTACCTGCTGAAGTTTCCGAGAAACTTTGCGCCATTTGCAACGGTACCGGGTCTGACAAATGTTCCAGGGAAGTGAGCAAAAATGGGTACGTTGGTTACCATGGCTCATTTATGTGCATGGCAGAAGGCAAGGGCGATGTATCGTTTGCTAAACACACAACTGTCGAAGAGGTGCTCTCGAAATACCCGGGAAAATATGGAGCAACGTCAGATTACGAATACCTCTGTAAAGATGGAACAAGAAAAGGTAGATAACTACTGATATTTGCCTAACAGGCAGCTAGAAAAATGTTGGCCCAGTTGTTCGCACACCAGTTAGCGCTAACTCGGGGTTAAATTTTAACCCGGGTTTGTTTTCTTTTTGTCATAAGCACCCTCTAGGATAATTTTCTCTATTCTTTTTAGAGTATCCAATCATCAAATTGTAGGCAAAGAGAATTAAACTAAATTTGCTTTTTAAGCTCTCATATTTGAGTTCAAATTTCGCACCAATAGCCCTTGGTTATCTTTTAACCCAGCTTCGAACAACCTGGTCAAGAGGTTTAAGGAAAGCTAACACTTACAGTAGCGAAAAGTTATTATAAAAAAGGACTTTTGACAAGGACCTACATTTCATTCTTCTAAAAGATTTGCAACATAGTCAGATGAATTGGTAATAAGCACTTATGGGTTATGGGCTCCTGACATGTAAGTAGGTACCACAACGTTAACCTAAAGTCTTGCTGTCAGGCGAAAACCGAATTCAATAACTGTTAATAACCAATTCAGGTGACAATACGTAAACCGTACTCGATGTTTTAGAACATGCGAAGCTATTTTTTACCCAGTTTATTCAACGTTTTGTGACAAACGGCTGCTGTACATTTAGCTTAGAAACATAACGCCATATGCAGCGGCTCTCTTTATTGCAAAATACTTCTCCTTTTCTGGTCGGCTTTATTAAATAGTGGGGATAATTCTTCATAACCAGCCAGAATGCTTGAATTGTGCCATACTCCTCAAGCTCATTAACAGTCAAAGAAAATACAAAGGAACTTAATGTATAATGAGTGTTTGGAAATCAGATGAAAAACTGCTCATTTTTGCATCCTTGAATTCTCTTTCTAATATCATTTTGTTTGAAAAGTAATAACAAGCAAAATAAGGTCTATTGTTTTCCCCACGTAAGGAAATCGGGATTCCAGAATCCGGGAAATGTTTGCTTGTGAAATCCGGAATACCCCTAACGATTGGATCCAGAATCCACGTTCCACTGACAAGACATAAATCCAGCACCTAGAGTCCGGAATCCACGGCGTGAAATTTAGACTCCGAGACTGTCTTGGGTTCAATAACATGGGTGGAAACAGGGCGGCCCATGAAAGAAATTGTTAGTTGTAACAGCCCATAATTTACTAACTAAAGTCTAACTATACCTTTGTCTTATCAGACATTGGAAAACATGAAGAGTGCTTTCTCGGGTTTAACGCTGCACATGCTGTGGTAACAAGAGAAGGCAACAAGGACATCGATAACATTGTCACCATTTTGACAACCATGAGCAGCATGTATGGCCCCAGCCAGACTAACTGGACAAAATTTCAACTATTTAACTCCACAAAATACGGCGGCGCCAATTTGCTGTTCAAAGATTCCACCACCGAGTTGGTAAGCATCTCAAAAGACAATAGGACCTACCAAGGGTTTCTGGGTGACGATTACGTCAAAGACGTTCAGGCACTGAAGTCATGTGACGATGCGAGCTCAGTCTCCACCAAGACCACACCCTACGCAGTGATTGTGCTGCTTGTAGCTATGGTTGCCGTGATGTCACTGTAAAGTGAAACACATAACCGTGTTTTAGCTAAAGCCATGGTCAAAACAAAACGTTGTGATACCTGAAGACGGTTCAACATTCGATTTAAGGTTTTCTTTTTTTTTTTCTAGTTTTGAATTTTGGTTAACTGATTAAAGAATCCATTCGAACAGGGAATGAAGGATAGTTTTAACCTGAACTTAGACTGCAAAACAGTCCGTATTTTTACCTAGTCAGGTACGCGCGAGCAGTCAAACAAAAGGTCTGGAACAAGGATAAAAACAGAGAGCGAGAGAGGGGAGAGACGCTAATGTTGAGAAAAAAAATGACTTTTGCAGTCTAACCTGAACTCATTTCCTTTTTGAATTATTAATGAATTTTAATTCAAACATTTGGCCATCAACACCTCAAGATCCTCATTCTCTGGGATCGTTTCTTTTCCGCCAATCAGGTGCATGGCTGTATTCAAAGACTAAAATTATTCACTACCGATAGCTAGCGCTTTTGCGTCTTATCTTCATGTAAACTCCTGTTTCTCGTTTGTTCCTGGCTTAAATTAAAGACAACATACATGTTACCTCAATAGCACTGAACCGACTATAAGTAAAGTAGGTATAGAGGGGGTGTTGCATGTGCTACAGCTTTTATTCTCAGCAGTGATATGAGCTCCGGCAGCACTTCAGTATTCGTTTCAAGTTTTTTTATTGTTTCAGACTAGCCAAAAGTGGTTCATTCAGTTGTTTGCTTGACCATGCAGGTGATAAGTAGCAAAAAGGCATAATTTTTTGGCAACGATTATTCAGGCTGCGAAGCTTATTGATCTTCATGGATTGTTTTATGTAGCTTAAACCAATCTGAACGGACAGTATAGTCAGGGGTAATTAGAGCTTTTTATTAAAGCAAATAGTGTTGCGTGTCAAGAAAGAAAAAACGGAGACATCAGATGTCAAGTTTTCAGCACGGCTTCAGATGATTTATATATAGGCAAGAGCCATAATGGGACAGTAATTATGGCTCTTGATATAGGCTAACAAGAACAAAGCCCTGATGCAGTAAGAAACAGTGAGAAATGGTAAATACATGATTAGCGATGACATCAAATGTCAGGTTGGAATGATCATGTCAGGGTAACATGCATTAGAATACAAAATGAAAACATTGAATTCAGTGGGTTTGCAGGGCTAGTTCGTATGTAACGTAGTGATTTTGTTGTGTAAGGCGAATAAATAAATGTCATTTTGAAAAACCTCATGTTGGTGTATGAAATTTATAACGTTCGAATTCCGGAATGGTTCACTGAAATTACGCAGCAAGGAAATGACCTACCGAAAACCCGTAACCCGAAATATCTCTTAAAGACAATATCGTAAGTGTATAGATTATTTAGAGCGTCACTTTTTAAGGCTTTCATGATCAAAGAGAAGGAAAGAAGGATTTATCAATCTTGCGAATGAGTAGTTTTTAAAAAATGTTTCTTAACTCAGTTTGGTAACAACGGTAATTATGAACGCAAACGTCTTCAACCAGCACAGTCAATTCTAAAAGCGCCACTGACCGCTCCTAAAGCTGACAATCATGAAGGCATCACCATGCTGGCCGATGAGACAGTCCGTAAAACAAGAAGATCGAAACGAAAGGCCATATGCTGAAAAGGAGAACTGATCTGAGCTCCATCACTACACGAAGCTTGTGACACCATGATCAGCTCATTAAAAAGGCGAGTATAACGTCATGCCTTAAAAAACAAGAGTAAAACTATAGTATTTGAACTTCCTTTCTCGACGTTTTATATCTTCTTTCCTTCACTCCAGAGTCCAGACTCCAGCCATAGAACCAAGATACAGTAACTCTCTCAAAATGTAAATACAAAAAATTCAGAGGTAAATTAAAAGAAATCGCTAGATGGAAGCTAGCCTGAGAAAACAGCCGACATTTCGCGACGCCTCCACTGTTTTCCACGCGCAATGACGTTATGATTGGCCGGGACGCTAGGGAAATTTTCGTCAGCCAATCAGAAGCACTACACAGATCTGGTTAATGACACGTCGTTAGTATCCTGCCCCTTTATCATATTCATTCCTCTTTTTTGCACTCGTCCCATCTGTCTCCGCGAACTTGCCTGCGCGGAAACCTTACAAGCTTGCAGTCTTGCTATGATTGAATTTGGCTTAGAGCCTTGAATAATCTGGATTTGGAGAGGAACTTCCGCAGCATAATTCCACTGTTGCCGACGATTTGTGACTAAAAAGAAAGGTTGATTTTGTAAACGGGCTATCTACCATAGTGTCCTTGAAAACATCAAAGCAAACCAGCTTCACAGCTTCACAGTAGCGTCATGAACGGTCATCCAAACTGGCGGGGAGGAGCCATCTCTATATTGTTTTCATGTTTTGGTATGTGACCGACCCAGCACTACCAGTCAGACGTCACATAGCAACGAGTCACAGCTTTGCTTTGCTTGGTTAGTTCAAAGTCGCCGGAAGACATCGAAGTCAAACAAAGAAATGGCTGATACGGCAGGCTTCTTACAAGCATTTGTGCCGGCCAATTTTTTGGCCAGCTTTGTTGTCTGTATTGGTTTCGTGTTATTGAAAACAGGACGTAAGCTGCTGTTAGAATAACACAAGCTTCGCATTAAGTAAGAAAGAACAATGAAATTTATCGAAACAGCCAGTATTGATTCAGCGTGTGGAGGGGTAGTCCGGGAATCCGGGGTTTGGCTGAATTAAAGCTAAGTGTGGAACTCGGGAAATGTCAACGGGATACGGGATTTGACTGCTACCTGAGTGGAATTCGCCTAAATTTGGGTACGGAACTGAGTGTGGAAAGAAAACGCTATTCGGAATAGCAGATGACAGAAGCTCGGGATGCGAGATTCTCGCGAAAAACGAGCGGGAATGCGGGATCACGCCTCCCTTTCCAGACGCTGTTAACTGTTCACGAAGCTTTACGAGGAAAAGGGACATGAGTACTCGCCTTAATAAGCTTGCGAGAGGTCCTATTGACCACACATGTTCGAGTTAAAAAAGAGATATAAGAAAGTTATCACATCAACCTGTCTCATTGCGACCACAGTTCCAACGCACCTGTTACCAATTGACTTCATGCATCTTAAACGAAGCTCAGCGGTGGGGGGCGGGGGATTGCAGGGGGGATATGAGCATAATCCAAATAAAGCATTGTCTTGTCTTGTCTTGTCTAGCAGTTGGTTGGGGTAGATCATTTGATCATTTTACCTAGTACTTGCATGCTAATCTCACAAGGAACCCAGAGATGCGGATGAAATCTTAACGGTTCACTTAACGGTTCACCATGGCTGAAAGGAGAGAGTTCGAGTATTTTCCCAGTCATAAGATGGTTGGAGAATATAGCTGGAAAAGGGCCTTCTAGGACTAAGTTAATGTGGCAAAAATAACAGTTCAGCGTAACTCCCTAGTTAACTTTTAGAATTTGCCCAGTCTTTTAGAAGCGGCGAAGGCGTGCCTTGCCTCACGAAAAAAAAATGGACTTTTTTTCCAAGTGAATTTTCTTTTATCCATATTCCGTGACATCCACAGATTTTGATCGTTCTTTGAACCCGTTTTTAGCTTTTGACGGACTGTGTCGCAGCTCGCAGATCAGTTCCGGGCGTTGTTCTGCAGCGACGTTAACTACCTTAAGATGGCAGCGAAAAGATTCTTTATTTTTCTGGCATTGGCTGCGATCCAAAGAGCTTATTCAGGTAAGGAAATCCAGTTTAGAGCTCTGCATCTGCCTTGGTCATTTTCAATGTACCCTTTTTTCGTATTAGAGATAAAAAAAGTACTCGTTTCGGCCATGTTGACCGAGTGCCTTACTAGCCACATTTTAAATTTTGTATTTAATAAGTGTTCTACGGATTATTGAGGCTAACTTGATCAGTAAAGTTAACTATTTTGTACTTTTCTTTGCAAAAATAATTGCGCCGGAAAAGAAAGCGAGGCGAATTATATATGAGTCTCCGCGTTGTTTGCGCCTCTTTAAACCATCTGTTAACACTAAAAACAAGAGGTACCAAAAGCTTCAGGGCCATGCTAAATAGAAACGCTCTTCAGTCTTGTAGAGTATTAAATAGCAGAGAATGTCAAACGACGAGAGCCAAGTATGAACGATGTATGGCGCCCAAATAGGACATCTCGATATATGCCTAAATGTTAGATTCAACATTTTTTTACTGCTGCTCCCTCACCATTTCATACTCTCAGCACCTAATCACATGCTCAGCAATAAATAGGAGGCGACGTGATTTGCACCTTTTAAAGTGTTGTTAAGTGCTAACACTTCATTATTTTAACACTTTTTTACAGCGCCAGTTAGTTTCAAATGGTGCGTAACGTCGTTGGCAGAGGGGGCAAAATGTCAAGATTTCATCAAGTACGTGAACGAAGCTGCACTAAACAAAAGTTTGCATGTAAGTGCCAGCTGTCTTGGGGGAAGCTCATATGACGATTGTGCTGCTAAGATCAAAGATAATAAGGCTGATCTCGTGACACTGGACGGGGGACACGTGTACGCAGCAGGTAATAACATGCATATATATGGGAAATCCCTGTCGGTAACTTACTTTTGGATTTGAGCTTTTCTTCGTCGCAGTCGCAATTTCAATCCATCTTTGTGTCGTTAGCCTGCGTAGCAAGCGTTTCCGTTTGGTTTCGGAGCAAAGAAAGACCGGTTTTGGCCGCGCGAGAAATGAAACAAGAGCCAAAAAATGAAAGAGGGGAGAGAGGGAGGGGAAGGAAGGAAACCCCTCCCCGCTCTTTTACTTGCGCCATTTTTCGCTCGGTCTTTGACTCTTGTTCCTCGTTCTTTGCTCCTAAACCGCACAGAAATGCTTGCTACGCAGGCTATGTGTCGTTTGACCCAATTTCACCCATCTTATGACGCTCTGTTAACCCTTTTCCTGACAATATCCATACATTGTCAAGAGATTAGGTTATGAGAATTAATAAAATGATCACCGAAGAGAAAACTCTTTGATCACAGATTCATCAAATTCTCTCACTCATTCTTTAGGGAAAAGTATGGAGACCAGTTTGGAGAATTTGTATGTGGATATTGAGATAAAGGGTTAGGACGCTGCCGTTTGTCTAAAGTTGACCCTAATAGGGCCTCTATACCGACACAGTGAATTCTGTATTTCGAAAGCCGACACGCATTGGGACTCCGGTTATCACATATCAAAATAAAACTCCTAACAATTACTTCTGTATTTTAGAACCATTCAGACATATTAGGCCTGCAGAATGCGTATCTTTCTCTACAAAATTTCAGTTCGATTTAAGGTTCCCACAGTGGATGTGTTTTCACTAGGACAATTTTCAAAGCTTTTGCGTCGCATGAGATAAAAATAGCGGCCGAGAAAGCTGTCAACATGAAAATGACTTTTACCCTTTTTAGCGTGACTGCCTGAATTTCTCAGTCAGTAACTCAGGCTTTGAAATTAAGGCAAGCTCTAGAATTCGGCGCAACACATTTTTCCCCTAAAAAAAATCACTTATTACTAATCTCACAGAGCTAAAAGTGGTCGAATCTAGGTGAGAGAAAGAGACATTGGGTGCACGGGTACCGGGGGGGGGGGGGGGGGGGCATGAACCGGTCACATTACATGCAAATAAATTAAGGTTAAAAAAAAAGGACAACATAAAAATTTGGCCAAAAAATTTTTTCCCCAAAAAAAAAAACTTTTTTAACAAACCCCAAGGGGGAAAAGGGGGTGAAGTGGGGGGGAGAAAAAGGGGATGGGGGGGGGGGGGGGGGGGGGGGGGGGGGGGGGGGGGCATGTGAATTTTCTTTATTTTATTATCTCTTAAATTCTTGATCTTTAGTATTGAAAGGTTAGATTTTTGTTGGTGATACAATGAAAACCAGTAACATGGGAAATAAGGATTGAAATATCCATAAGCTTGTCAATGAAAAGGGAGTAATCGGCGAAATAGTATTATCTCAAAAAGCCTCGTTCCCAGGGTTTTTTCCTACTCGTCCGAGCGACGAGAGGTGCAAAGAACCCTTGGAACAAGATTGTTTGGAACAAGATTGTTTTTTACAATATAGGTAAGAACAACAGCCTTGTGCCCATTGTTGCTGAGCAATATGGAAATTTAAAATACGGA